CTGTAGTAAAGGTGTGCTTGTATTCCAGCCGGATCACACAGACCTAGGTCTTTGGATGAGCTCTATTGCCAGAGCAGCCATGTTCTGAATTAACACTCCTCTACAGGAGAGTCACCTCCCAACACCTGGAACACGTCCTCTTTTGAAAGAAGCCTGCAAGGCTTGTTGCTGCTTCTGGAGACCTGTGTCCATACACCTCCAAATCAGTATGAAAACAGTGTTCTGGGTTCCCAGTGTCTCCACTTAATTCAGAGTCATGGCTGCTGCTTTCTTGCTTTTGGCTTTTCAAGTCACTAAACAAGCAGCCCACAGGAGGAGTGGCCACACTGGCAAAAGGTGACTTACCTCAGTTATCATATGGAGTTGGGATTAGTGCTGTGTCAGGGTAAGAAGTATTCAGTGCTGAGGCACACCAACATTGAGACAGGTCCTGACATGTTTACTCCTTCCTGCCTAGCACCACGGCCATTTTGTTTTTAAGTCTCCATTTTGATCATAAGGTGAAATTAAGTTCAGGTTCTTAGGCTTTGCCTGCCTGAGAACTTGAAGAGCCTTTTACTTTCAATACTTATTGAATGTTCTGCTTGAATTAATGGTATATGTTCTACTTAAACAAAACCACAATACCCTGCTATGTTCCTTCCTCCTGGAACAATGGGGAACTGGAAAGTCCCCAAGTCTATATCCTAGCCAATTAGCTTAAAATGCTTTGTCTAGCCACCTAGATATAATGTACTTGGAGATGCTTTGTTTAACTGGTCAAAATGATGTAATGTTGTTTTCCCCTTATTTTCTACACCTGGTTACCTGGTTATGGTTTTTCTTTCTTCTTTTTTTAAATGTTATTAACACAATACCATTTATTTCCAATACCACACTGCTGAGTGGAGCCTCTCAGAGGACAACTGTGCTAGGCTCCTGTCTGTGAGCATAGCAGAGTATCCTTAATATTTTCAGGGGTTGGCTCTTTTTTTTTAAATTTAATTTTATTTATATATTTATTTATTACAATTTATTCAATTTGTACCCCTGCTACAGCCCCCTTCCCTGGTCTCTGCCCAGTCCCACCCACCCCCCCTCTTCTCCCCTTATGCCCTTTTCCTAGTCCTCTGATAGGGGAGGACCTCCTCCCTTTCTATCTTACCCTACCCTATCAAGTCTCATCAGGCTGGTTGCATCATCTTCCTCCATGGCCTGGCAAAGTTGCACCCTCTAGGGAGAGGTGATCAAAGAGCCACTGAGTTCATGTCAGGGACAGCTCCTGTTCCCCTTACTGGGGTACCCACTTGGAAACCAAGCAAAAGCCTGTCTTAGAAACAGACCAGAGTCACAGTTTGGCTCCAGATTGTGACCCTGACTGGTCAGTCTTTCTCTGGAGTTCAATAAACTTCCACTAATCTGAGTCCGGTGTTTGAATGGTCAGTGTGCAGCTATTCCTGAACCCATAACATTAGGAATGCTTGGTAATATTTGGGGACAAGGTGAGCAGGGGTAAGCAGCAGAAGAACTAGTTGAAGGAGGAATCTAAAATATACAGAAAAGGAGGGAGATTAAAAAAAAAAATTCCCTGTGGCTTCTGTAGTTTCCAATGGTAAAAAATGTAGCTTGTCTTGCTAACCTTCTAGTTGTTGGTATTTTTCTTTTGTCATATTGTTTAAAAAGATGACCAGCCTCTGTCTTCAAGAAAGAAGACTCTAAAATGGTACACATGATGATAGAGGCTGAATAGGGTATATAGTAGGAGGTACTTACTGGTTATTTTAACATACTACCCTTTTATACCCAGATGTTAATTTTGAGATTTAATTCACATATCAAATTAATCCTTTGAACTGTTTAATTCAGTGGATTTTTCTATATATGCAACATTGATAACCACTGCTATTAATTCCCAAACACCTCAAATAAAAAATAAACCCAAGAAGCCATTTGTAGTCGCTCCGTCACTGCACCTAACGGCAACCTGACTCTAGAGGGAGACCTTGATCCTCACTTAGAACAGGCTGGACAATGCATGAAATTAGCACCTCAGATTTGTCACACTTCAGTGGAAGTACTTGGAGTTGTTTCTATCTTAGGGTTCCAGCAGGAGAATCTTGATTGCTTACATAGTAACTTAACCTATCTCAATTCCTGTCTCCTTCAGGAATCCCTAAATAATCCACCTGTACCTTTTCCAGCTAAGGCTTTCCTCAATAAGGTTACCATGGGGTCTTTGTCAATTGCTTTGCTCAATCCTCAGTATGTCTTACCTTCTTAACCAGAAGAGGCAAGGGAGATGACTCAGCAGATAAAGGTGCTTGCTGTTCTCTCCCCTCTTTCCAAAGTCTGACATTTAGAAAAAGGCCAGGATCCCTTCAGGGACTTGAGAAAAATAGTACTTACTAGCTAAAAGGAAGCATTCTCTTTATTTCTGGCAAAAGGGACCTCTGGCTCTTCCATTAACACATGCCTATGTGCTTGTGGAAGTCAGAAGAGCATCAGATCCCTTGGGAATAGAGTTACAGATGAAGTAAGTGCTGGGAATTGAACCTGGCTTCACTGCAAGGTAAGAAAATGCTTTTAACTGGTGAATCAGCTTTTCAGCTCTAACTATATTTTTATTAATTCGCATTCTAAAATAGGTGATTTTGTGGCAAGGCACTTCTTTAATAGTTGACCGACGGCAACCCATTCCAATACCTTTCTTTATGATTTCCCTTCAGGAAATGTTGATGGGTTTTTGTTTGCTTGCTTTGTTTTGTTTTTAGATGGTGGTTTAGCTTGCTGTGATGGAATACTCCTCAAAGACTTGCTTACATGAGATAAATCACGTCTTGAATTTGTAATGGCAAAGCTTAGAGCAATGCAAGCATTTAAAAGGTAAAGATCTATAGGAATCTCAGTCAGCTAATCAAAATGGAAATAACAGAAAGTAAAGGCTTTATCAAATATTATTACATAGTTAAGAAAGCAAATATTCTATATAATCAGATTTATAAGACATAAGCAAATGATTAAATATTTATTAACACAGATACAAATGTAAGATGAGAACAAATAACCATTTAACTGTCAAATTAAAATTATTAATGACAAAACCCTTTACATTTCATTTTTGTGAACATAATGTCTCAATCATAATTCTGAAGGTTTGATATTTAATGTTAAACCAAAACTGCATTTCATTTGATTTTGCTTTTGTGTTATAGCGTGGTGATTGGTCCCGGGTCTCATGCACAACTGATTAAGTGCTGTGCCCTGGTCAAGAGCACTTAAGATGGTTTACCAGCAGACTGTCCACAGTTACCAGTACACTAACAGTTCACTCAAAGCTTGAACTTGTTTCCTAAAAGAGCCAACATGTATAGACTAAACACTTCTGTTCAGTTAATTGAGGTCAATCTTAAAACTGGGAAACCAAGTGAAGTAAACATTTGAAACTGCATTTTGCTGTAGTAGGAGTTTAAAACCAAAACAGAGCAGAATAGAAGTAATGAATGGTGTGAGCGAAAGAGGTGGCATACTGATTTATGCAACCTATTTCTTATCTTACTGCTTAATAGTTTTTAAGGTTTCAGAAATACCTTTGAATTTATTATTTAACAACTAGAATACACTACACAGAATATTTCAAAGCCACTACTTACAAGACAAGTAAAAATTCTACCTAGCAATGTATGATGCTGGAATTAACCCGAGAAAGGTGCAGGAGAATACAACCAAATGGTTTTTGAAAGACACATTTTCCATTTAGTTAGAAGTTCTGGTTTCTGACTTATGCATAACATCCTGGTCCACAAGTGATGGAATGGACTTTTAGAGAGGGAATTATGCTGGGCTACAGAAACACAGGGTGGAACTAGAGTCCTCAATGAAAGCCCTACATGAAACTCATACAAATAAATGGGCAAGAAAAAAAAAATGTGTAGGAAATGTTGGCTTGTTACTGTATCTTTTTCCCTCTTCTTTTTTGGATTCATCCATCACCCTATGTTGCCTTCCTGCTTTTCTTAGGGAGAACTTACCTCACTATCATTTGTTCCTTTAGTATTTTAACACAGCCTATAAAAGCCTCACAGGACATTCAAAGCTAATACTAAACCTTTGAATGAAAACAACAAAGATGGTACGCTCTGATCAGTGTACTTTTTTCTGGGAATAAGTTCCCTATTTATGGAGGTAGAAGAATCTCTATTAGCTTGTTCACATAGGATGCAACATGTTTGCTTTGAGAAACAGGAAAACTTCCTCCATGTTAACGTGAAGGTAAATGCTTTCTTTCTGAGGTTTAACTGCCTTGTGAGCTTCATTTATTCTTCACTGCACCACACACTGTAGGAGTGATGTCCTGTTTCTAACACTTTATATACAATCACTCAAGGAAAAGCACACCAAGAGAACACTAAGATCTCTTGAAAGTGCCATTTCTCTACACACATACAAACCACAACCCAAAGTACAACCTGGAATCCAGTCACTGACTTTATGTTGTCAAAGTTTGAAAATATTCTAATTTACATAAAAGCTAAAAGGATATTCTGCAAAATAAAGATTACACATACTCTGAGTCCATCTGCTTTCTAAATTGTGAAAGAATAGGATGAATCTGATTTCTCCATCCATAAGACAGACCCATGATAAATCAGGATGCAAAGAAATGTCTGTATCTCCTTTACTAAGCAGCGTTTATGATGGAGAAATGGAAAAAAATGTCTGTATCTCCTTTACTAAGCAGTGCTCATGATGGAGAAGTGCAAAGGTTAGCCAAATCCTCACACTCACTGCAGCTTGCTGCCCTTATTGATTAAAAATGTTAACCAGAGGAGAAAGTAACATTTTCCATAAGCTTATACATTCTGATAATTAGAGTAAATTAAGATTTCATTATTAAAAATAAAAGGTTTATTTATAAATGTTAATAACTTTACTATTTATCTTTACATTTACGGACTATACAAGTATAGATGTTGTCAAATTCTCTAACAATAAAAGGTTCCCTCACTAATGCAAAAGGATGGCTCTTCTTTCCATTCTAAACTCTCTTCTACCATGAAGAAATCTCATTGCATTTGCATGGACACTCTGAAGCACTTGACAGAGAGGTGTTTGAGACAACACAAAAGAATCATTACATTTTTTTCCTCTTCTCAATTATAGACTGAGAGTAAGAATGCTAGCTCTAATATTACAAGCAAAGCCTAAACATTAGAAAAAGGAGAGAATATGACAAAATGCTTCAAAATACATGCCTGAGGTCGATGGCAATAACTTGTATGTTCATGAGCGGCAGGTTCTAGGAAAAACCTTCAGTTTTTAATCTTCGGATTCATATCTAGAGATAAAATTAAGAGCATAATGTCATGATCCTTTTTGTTTTTTCTGTTGCCATAAGTGAAACACCACTAGTAACTAGCCCAAGAATGCCACTACTGTTCACTTTCCATCCCTCTTATGGCAGAAGTCAGTTACACTCAAGGCTAGTATTATGATGGTGACTTGGAGGGGTCTACAGCAGCTCACCTAAGATGTCTTCAGACGTTAGGCCTGCATTTGGAATTTAGACTCATTATAGCGTAGTACAATTACAAGAATCTTCAGATCACCATCAACAGCTGACATGACTATGAGTTAAGGGTTAACAACCCCCCTCCCAAGACAAATCTAATCTTGAATTCACTTTACAGATGTTTCTCTGAAAACAAAGGCGAAACGTCAGCTTCCGCTGGGTTTATGCAAAGCCTCTGATCCTAACTAGCAAAGGGTGTCAGTATCTGAACACCATGGAGCACCTATGGTGCTGCCTGGCTAGCTGCTGCCTGTACCCTTGCCTGCTAATGGGTCCACTGCCAGGGAACAGCGTAGTGAGGGTAAAGGTCTGGCTGAGCCTAAAAGCAACTGCACGGACTAACCAATGGGCCAACCCAGGACCTGATTCATTGGTACTACAGGCAAGTGGAGCAGGAACACCATGGTAGGATCAGCCAGCTTACTTTGCCAGTCTTTTTCGTAGGTCTTTGATTTGGTCATTCTTTTTGGTGAGAATCTCTTTCATATTTCGATAAGCTGCTGTTTGTTGAAATTTCTTCTCTAACTCCTGCTTTGTGAAAAATGTCAGCCCATTATTAAGACATATTAAGAGTAACAAATGTGATAAAATGCAGTTTGCTAATTTTCTAATTTCTTTAAAAACATACTTGTGTAAAATTAAAACCACCCAAACTTAAAAAATACTTCAAATGAGAAGCTAATAAAATACTATAATTGTCTACCTCAAGTTATAAATCTCAAGAGTCTTGAGTCTTAAAAAAATTCACTTCTTTTCTATTTATGTGTGTGTATGACAGTGTGAGTCAGCTGATATGAGGGCTGAAAGCCAAATCCAATCTATCTGCAAGAGCTGTAACTAAGCCATTTTCTAGCCCTTAATATGAGGAATTTTCAGTTCTCAGGATTGAAGCACAGCTGGCAGAACATTTGCCTGATAATTCCATACCCAACACCCACAATCCTTCTTTAAAAAGGATGACTGAAAAGAAATAGAACTACTTATTTATTTTATGTATATGACTATTTCACCTGCATGCATGTATGTATACCATATGAATGCCTGGTGCCCATGGAGGTCAAAAGAGGGCACCGGATCCCCTGGAACTGGAGTTACAAATGGTTATGAGCCACCATATTGGTGCTGGGAACTAAAGCTAGGTCCTCTGCAAGAACAGCATGTACTTTTAATTGCTGAACCGTCTCTCCAACCCAGTACCCATATTTTTAAATGTATAATCCTAAAGTAAAGAATTTACTCTAGGTATTTCCCATATAAAGCATTTTGAAAAGGTCTCAAAATCTAAAAAGGAAAAAAAAAAACCAAACAAAACAACAACAACAACAACAACAACAAAAACAAACCACAAAACACACAAACAAACAAACCCAACCCAAAACCAAAAATCCCCAAGCCATCCAGGTCTCTGTCAGGGTGTAGAAAGACCCCAGAGAGCAATGAAAGGTTGGAGAGTAGAGGCAGCATGTGGAGGAGGAAGCGAGCAGTTTGTTTATTTTCACAAAGATGGAAGAAAGTAGGTGCCTAGAAATGATAGCTCTTCAGATCATACGTTGGCTAAGACTCAGAATAAAAATAATCTGACCCTGCACTTGTCTAGCATTTATCTAGCCACATTTATTCCTCTCTACTATATGCCTTAGATAATCAGGCATCAACAGGCGAAGCTCCTCCTTATGTGTCTCCTGACCTTTTCGGCCATGCTCAGCTGCTCCTGTACTCTGAGGAGCTCATGTTTGGCTGCTGCTAGGTTCTCCTCCAAAGACTTTTGGTTTTCTGTCTTGTCATTAAGTGTCTTCTGAAATTCACTCCGAAGAGCAGCGACTGTGTTTTCCAAGTCATCCAAGTCTTGGGCCTTTATAAAATCCTATAAAAAAATAAAGACATGATTATAATTTCCCTTGACATACTAAATAACAGCTGTTTTAAAACAGCATCCAAGGAGAGAAAAAGTAATGCTGTTCTGTGTGTGCAGGTAGCTTTTTCACGGGGGTAGATAAATGCCAGTCCCAAAAGGATCGCCAGCAGGCTCAATCCAGCCTCAGCCTTGGTCTACATGTAGCATATTCAGTAGTCACTGCATTCCAAATATGGAAAATAGGGTTTTTGAACTGCTTGAATTTCAGTCAAAATGAAAGAGACAAAAATGAGATTTTAATTTGACAGTTGTGTGTACCAGAATTGGAATGCCAAATCATTTGTTAAGAGTATGGGACAGAGTTTTCTGTAAATCAAACTGGCCCCAAACTTGCTTTGTAGCCAAAGATGCCCTACCTTTCTGCTCTCTCTCTCCCAGGTGCTGAGATTATAGGCATGCAGCAGCACGCCTGGTTAATGTGGTACCAGGAATCAAATCCAGGGCTTTGTGCTCAATAAGCAAGCATTTAGTTAGCTAAGCTATATCTTAGACTCCTGAAAAGCCATTCTGAAAAGCTAAATTAAAAAATCAAACCTTTCTTGTCCTTCATTCCAACATCTCTGAACTTACTCTTTGTACTGTAGCACCCTGCTTGCAGGTGCTTCCGCCACAGCTCCATTTCTTGGGACTCTTGCCTTTTGGTGTGAACCCTAGTCCCTCTAGCTCGTTCATGCTGCCCTTCTCAACTGTTCCTTCTAGCCCATCTCCATTCCTCTGTGTTACCCTCAGCCTCCACTTGTCTGGGACACAGAGAGGGCAATAGCAAACAAAGACTACACAACCAGATACCTGCACCAATAACACTTCACGTATCTTAACCCCAAATGCCTAAATCTCAGCACAAAACCACAAACATGACAGCCAATACAATAGGACCCCTCCAGACACCAGTAACTGTATGGTGACAGGACCCATGCACTGCAATCTGCCGAAACATAAGACAAGGACTTCAAAAGAGCAATTAGGAGTATGCTCAAGGACCTTAAGGAAGATACAAACAAATGACTTAATGAAGACAGTGAAAACACAAATGGTTGAATGAAATAATAAAATTATTTCAAGGCATGGAAGAAAATATAAAGAAAATTTAAACTAAAAACTTCAGATTACAAAATATGGAAGAAAGAATTTCAGGTCTTGAATAAAAGATATACAAAATGGACAGTTCAGTCAAAGAAAATGTTAAATCTTAAAGAATTCCATGCACAAAATATACAGGAAATATGGGACACTATGAAAAAACCAAATCTGGGTCTGAAGAAATGGCTGAGCCATTAAGAGCGCTGGCTGCTTATCCAGAGGTCCTGAGTTCAACTTCCATCAAGTGCATGGTGGCTCAAAACCATCTATAATAGGATCTGATGCCCTCTTCTGTCATGAAGGCATACATGCAAATATATATAATGTACATATAGATTAGATACAAATATACATAATAATTGAATCTTAAAAAAAAGACCAAATGCACAATAATAGAAATAGAGGAAAAAGAAGAGACTCAGCTCAAAGTCTTATAAACTATTTTTAACAAACTCATGGATGAAAATTTCCCCATTCTAAAGAAGGAGGTGCATACAGAACACCAAATAACATAGGACCAAAAAACAAATTCCTCACAACATATAAAAATCAAAACACTAAATATACAGAACAAAGATAAGATTTTAAAATCTGCAAAGGAAAAAGACCAAGTCACGTATAAAGGCAAGCCCATTTAAATAACACCTGATTTTTCAATGGAGACTCTGAAGGGCCAGGACAGATGTGCTACAAACTGGTGCCTAACTAAAAGCTTCAACCCTACTGACTAGCACTCACAGTACTGCAAAGTCCTCTGCACCTTCCTGTAGGTCACAGGGTCTCACCCACCTATAAACCTGTGACCTACAACAGTGAACCTGCAGACATACATTCTTTTTTGTTTTGAAAGAGAAAGATAACAAAGTTGAGTGAGCAGGGTGGACTTCAGAAGAATAGGGGAAGGGAAAATATGATCAAAATATATAGTCTGGATACTTTAAAAAAAATAAACAAAAAGAATTTTGAATAAGAGGAAAAATATAGCAAGTTCCAAGCCAAGCGGGAGACATATTTTTCTCTCCAAAGAACAAATAGTATAGGTGTAAAAATAAGATTGGTAACATTCATATAAAAATAGGGATGGTTTAATTATTATGAAACTATGAAGAAAATGAGTAGCGATTAATGATTGTGTGGGTTTCTAAATTCACAAAGTTCTACGTTTTTTTCTACTGAGTTACATGCGCCTCTGCATAATTTGACAACTGCAGCACCTGATCTTGCTTTTGACGTATGCATTGATAATAGGAAAATGGCCTATGAACTGCTCAAAGTGTGGATGAAGCAGGATCTTCAAAAACAATGAAACAATCCTTAATTTTTAAATATTTATTCTCTACAAAGACCTTTCAACTAGTAGAAGCAAGTATCCACTTTGTTTCTATAGCAAATAGTAAACTTGAGGTAAAGCTTCAAATGGCTTTTAAATAAATTCATTACCCAAAAATGTTTTTAAATGCTTAAGTTTTTGAGACATTATAAGGTTGTTCTGGAGCATTCTCCTATCTCTATTTATATTTATATATCAGTTTTTTCCTAGTCATGTAAAAATATGACAATAAGCATCTACAGATAAAATGTCTGAGATTCACCTTAAAAAGACACGGGTAAGGGGAAGAAAATAGAAGTAGGAATAAAAGCAGACTAGCAATGCCTGGTGACTGTAAAGCTGAGAGCAGGTTCATTACTACTCTGTATTTTTGCGTGTTTGAGTTTTTCATAGAATAGAGCTAAAAAACAACCAATGAAGTCTGGGCATATGACTCAGCATCAGAGTGCTGGGCTAACACGTATAGACTGGGCATTCCATAAAAGATAAAAATTATGTTAGAAAGGAAAAGAACATACAGAGGTAGCTTTAGGGATTATTTAGCACATTACTTAGGGATTATTATTAGCATTATATACAATGACAACCATAGAAAAGACAATTCTGCACTGAAAATTCACCTAAAGGGCTTTGCTCATATAAAATCACAATACCATGTCATACTTAGGGGGAGGACTACAGGAGAGGCAGTGATATACTAACGGACCCTGAGCAAGTGGAGGAATATTCAGTTATTCTCAGGTAGGCCGGCAGAACTACACTCTGGAGGTCACTGTATTCCACAGCACACTGGATATAAACAAAGACCACAGCCAATAAATTCCTCTCACTGTCACCTTATCCAAGGAAACCTCAGTGTTCAAAATAAAACCAAATGTAAATTTTCCCTTCATTTTTTTTTCAATTATAATTGGGTATAGGAGGGAAAGGGGGAAATTCACCTGCTTACTAAGATCCTGTAAACTATGAATCTTCCCTGGAAAATGGACAAAGGATAGAGTTTCTAGGCTAGGCATCTCAATGTAACACAGCAATAGCATTCTGCAGACAGAATGGCAAGGGTAGATAGAATATGATGAACAATGATTATGATTAATGTTTCTTATTCACTATCTTAAAAAGAATAGAATAGATAGATACAATAGATAGTTAAATTGTTTTACCTGTTGATTTCCTTGATCAAGCTGTAAGTCTTGAAGTTCTCTTTCCAATTTTGACTTCTCATCCAGAGCATGTGTGGCCTATAATCAAATGTAAGCAGAATACACTCAATTTTTACTCTGTAGGTTAATTTCTCAATAACTATATTGAAGGATTTCTTAGTTACCTGTATTTCAATGGTCTTCAGCCTTGACTTTAATTTCTCATTCTCTTGTTGAAGTCTTAAAATTTCCTTTGTAAGTAAATTCAAATATTATTATTTTAAGGATTTATTTATTTTAATTTTACGTGCATGACTATTTTGCCTGCCATGTATGTATATGTACAACATGCATACCAGCAGAGACTATCTGAGTGCATCAGATGCCCTGGAACTACAGATGGCTGTGGCTCACCACGTGGGTGCTGGGAGCTGAGCCTGTACACAAGAGTAGTACATGCTCATAACAAAGGAGCCCTCTCTCTAGTCCCACAATTTTATTATTTTAACCAAAGTATGTTTAACACTTGAAATAATTTATTACTTGTTTCACTTAAAAAAAAATCAAAACTATGCAATGGCTTGAAAATCCAAATGCCCTGATTAGTAGTAAAATCCTACTTTTGCACAGCCTGCTTCAACCCCATAGTTTTGACCCAAGTTTAGCTCTAAGACTTACAGTTGTTTTTCTCTCAGAAACACCTTTTCTTCTACAACTGTTTCAGCCATTCTCCTTGCTGGACATCTTTTCCCTAGCTCTCTGACCCTGCAACTTGGGCCTATCTGTGGCCACCCTGCTGCACTAACCCTAGAAACGCACTGCCCTCATCATCTTAGTGCCCAGTGCGCAAGCTCCTGAATGCCTCTGAGGTGAGGCACCTTTGCCCTTATGCAATTTTGATGTAAGATGCACCCACCAGTCAGATTTTGCATTTTACTCCTATACGCACTTCACTCTATTACTCTAAGTCATGCCAACATTCTGTGTGCCTCTGGCCTCTGCCTCCTTCTTAACAGACCCCCTTTAACTTAACCTGTCTTCATCTATATGACCCAGCTCTGAGGCTACTTCATTTAAGCACCTGTTTTTCTCTCCTCTCATCCACACAAAATTGTACCTTCTTTATGATACTATAACATCCACATAACCTTTAGTCCTCTCATCTCTGTTTCTGGAAATGTTAGTTCCTACTTTCCAATGAAATTACAATAGTTTTGAGAGTGTAATAGGTGCTGTACTGCTTTTATTCCATAGCAACACTGACATGTGCAATGCCAAGAATATGGGAGCTGAGAAAAATATTTATTTTTATGCTGATAATTTCTACAAGCATTTAAAGAACCTATATATTATTGTGGATCACAAATTTCAAATGCACACCAGAAAAAAAAAAAGGTTCAAAATTCCATGCTCTGTACTTTCCTGTGAAAAGATTCTTTAGTCACTTCAGACCCTACAAAGTAAACATGTCCTCTTCTGGTCACTGGGTTTCACTCAGTAAAACTGTGATGGACTATTTCTCTTACCCTAGCATTCTCAGAAATGGGGGAAGAAGGAGACAGAACCAAGGTTTTCCCATTTCTCAAAATAATGAGAACATTACCTTGTTTAGCAGTTCAGTTGTTCCTCCTTCATTAATTGGAACAAGTTTTGGCTTTGTGATATCAATGATGGGCTGCAACAAAAACCAATCTAAAATCAGTAAAGCAGCAATCATCATGAAACATCTACACTTTCTATGTGGAAGATGTAATCTATAAAAACAGCGGCCAGGACTTCAGCTCCACAGGCGTAATGATTTTTGTTGGGTTCACTCTCTTAGTCCAGTGCTATGAGGAGCCCTAGAAAGCTCAATACATGACAGAGACAGACACACACAGTATATACTCACTCATATAGACATATAACATAGGATAAACCTACTAAAACCTGCACATCTAAAGAAACTAATCAAGACAGAGGATCCTGACTAAAATGCTCAATCCCCATCCCGAAAGGCAAAGAGGATGGACATCAGAAGAAAAAGAAAAGAGGAAACAACCTAGGAACCTGCCACAGAGGGCCTCTGAAAGGCTCTACCCTGCAGACTATCAAAGCAGACGCTGAGACTTATGGCCAACTGTTAGGCAACGTGCAAGGAATCTTATGTAAGAAGTGGGAAATAGTAAGATCTGGAGAGGACAGGAACCCCACAAGGAGAGCAACAGAACCAAAAAATTTGAACACAGGGGTCTTCCCAGAGACTCATACTCCAGCCAAGTACCAGGTATGGAGATAACCTAGAACCCCCGCAAAGATGGCAGTTTAGTGTCCAAAGGGTTACATAGTAATGGGAAGAGGGACTGCCTCTGACATAATCTGATTGGCCTGTTCTTTGATCACCTCCCCCTGAGGGGAGAGCAGCCTTACCAGGCCATAGAAAATGACAATGCAGCCATTCCTGATGTGATCTGATAGACTAAGATCAGAAGGAAGGAGAGGAGGACCTCCCCTATCAGTGGACTTGGGGAGGGGCATGTGTGAAGAAGGGGGAGGATGGGACCGGGAGGGGAGAAGGGAGGGTGTTATGGGGGGATATAAAGTGAATAAACTGTAATTAATAAAAATAAATAAATTTAAAAAAATGAAAGCCCCTCCCGGCACCTTTTATTAAAAGAGATGGAAAGGAAGGAGACAAGGAGCACAGAGCAAGACCTGATAAAAGTCTCTAGCCTCTAGGATTGGAATTTTATCTGTGGTAACCAAAACTGTTTTCTGCATGAAACTTATACAGTAAAGCTGTAATGACTGAGAAAGTACAAATGAACAATAACTTAACACAAATATTTGGGTATTTTAGTAGCATGTATTAAAAGTAAGAATCCATGCCCTTTGGCCCAAAATTTCTTAATCAAAAACATGCTCCAAAAGAGTTACTAGACAATGCTTTGTTTGTCTACCTCTGGAATTCATCTCAGTAGTGTTCAGCTATCTGACAAGGGGAACTATTTAGGACTTATGGTGTATCTAGGAAAAGATACTGCAGCATGTAATTTTCAGAAAGATTACCAGGATGTCTCCACCTGCTGTCCTGGGTAGCCTATGGTACACAGCTAAGAAGCAGAGTCAGGTGTAACCACAGATATGATCACCAGGGAGTATATGCTCTGTACCAGTTGAAGGGTTTATAGGGATTCAGACTGGACTGTAGGGACACCATGCGTGTATAGATCATGACAGAAAAAACAGTTTTTCAGTTACTTCTAAAACTTTTAATCTTTTGTCTGCAAGCATGAGTGGCATTTGTACTCTACTCCCAACTTGAATGCTTTTCCTTTAAATGTCTCACTCTCACTTCCTGTAGTCATATCTTGAGGATTTTAGATACCAAGTATTAACAAATATGGGAAGCCGAGGAAATGCCTCAATGGAAAAAGCACTTACCACCCAAATGTGAGGACTTAGGTTTGGATTCTTAGTACTCATATAAAAACCAGGTAGACGTGGTGACCTGCCTGGGTTTAGGCAGAAACAAGGAATTCCCAGGGAGAGCTGACTAGCTACCTTAGATGAATTGGCGACCTCTGAGTTTAGTAAAAGTCTCTGTTTCAGTAAATAAAGTGGAAAGCAATCAAAGAAGACACACAGCATCAATATCTGGCCTCCAATACGTAAGCACACACACATGCACCGACAACAATACACACATGTACCCATACACACAAACTACACACATGTGCACAACCACACATGTAAAAATAAATATGGACTGAAAAATACTAAAAATTACCTTTTTATTTGAAGATGTAAACTCTGCCTTTTCAAATTCAGCAACTTGTTCTAATAATTCTCTGGAGAATAAAAGCAAATTTAAAAGAAGATTGACAATAGACCTCTAGCACACAAATGAATTAAAAAAAAAATCACAAAACCAACCTATTACAAAATAGGAAGATGAGTTTAAGATTGTACAAAACTGATATTTAATTGCAAATGACTGAGAACCTCACCCCTATAAGCAAATCTGAATTATCTATAGCTCTTGGTACTTTGTACTTGGTAGGTATATGATACATATATATAGCAAGACATAAACAGCAATGCCAGTACATATATGAATGCCATGTATTTCTCTGTATTTCTGAGGTGCAGCATGATTTCTCTATTACATAATATTCACTGTTACCTAAGAAAGTGTCTGATTCGTAATAGTTTTCTTGGATATGAATTAGTGCACAGTTATCTACTGAGCAAGTATACTGGCATATTCTATGCAAAGATACATGGTGTAGGCAAGCCCCTAACGATCTACCAAAATACTCCTGTTTACATATCATTCTTCTATCTTCTTCAAACATCAGCACTAAGTATTTTCTCACCAGTCACCTATTGAGAAACTGACACTTGCAGAAGCCAGATGAATTTCATTCCCTGCTTGGGGCCTGTCCTTAGCATTTGCTCATCATTTTCCACTGAGGAGAGGTTTTTTTGAAGATCAATTTCCAGGGCTTGGCAATGAGTCCTTCTTGACTTCTGGCATATCTGGTTTTGTTTTGTTTTTCTGTCTGTTTTGAGACAGGGTCTTACTGTATATCCCCGCAAGTCTTGAATTCACACAGACTGTCTGCCTCTGCCTCTGAAGTGTTGAAATTAAAGTGTGAACCATGACGCCCAACTGACATGCTATTTCTTAAAACCAACATCACTAATCTTACTAAAGTTTATGAATTCATGACTTTTCAATATTATAAAGCTTTTAAGCCTTTTATACTTCACACTTCCTAAGATAACTGTATGGTTTCAAATGCAGTTATCTAGAAACAAATATGCAATGCTATTAGTCTGCATAGATGGAAATAATACTCCAATATATCAACTGTTCTGACCTTTACTTTTTAGCAGCTCTATGCATCAAGACTACTGTAATACTAATCATGATACCAAAGATGCTGTAAGAAAGAATTACTTTAAATAGACTTAAAAGCAGTTTTATGTAGCTGTACAGAATAGTGGAAACAGAGTATCTTTAGCATGCTCTCCTCACTATCATCTACTGACTGTGCCTTGCTGCCACCCTACCCTAACTGCCTCACACTCCAGCCCAGGAAAGCACTAGTAAAGTTATTTGCTAACTTTTAAGATCATGGTTGGGACTCTATGTCTCAACTGCAGGTAAAAATTTTTACCTATTTTCAAGTTCAGAGATGTCCGTCTGTAGTTTTAGGTACCACTTCTCAGCTTGGGAAAAGAGCTGCCGCAGGAGCAAGACATTGGTGTAGGCTGTATTGATGAGCTCTGATTCCACCTCACTGTGGACCACAGCCTGCAGCCCATTTAGAACTTCTGAAACCTCATCCATGGTGAAAGTCTCCTCTACCAGCCTGAAAACAATATGACTTCATTGGCCAGCTAGTCACAGGCACAACTTAAAAAATACAACTGAAATCAAGAAAATCACTTCATGACATTTAAAGAATTAAAGATTACAGAAAAACTCTCCAGGAGAAATTTATTAAAATGATTAGGTTGTGGATAATTCCTCAAATTTGTACATTTTAAAATACAACTACAAAAAATAAAATAAAATAAAATACAACTACATGCTGAAAAACATCCCCTCAACCTTCACCTATTTTTTGAACTTTTCAATATTAATTTTTTTACTTTATATTACTTTAAATTAGTTTTATCACATTTAGCAACTTAAAAAGTCACCTAGAACACATAGCATCTCCATTTTATTACTTCTCTAGCATTTTAGTAATTGTATAAATTACATAAACATTAGCAAATGACTATGTGACATAATTACAGTTATATATTAATTTTCTTAGCAGTCTAGAGACACATAATAAAAAAAACCTAACACCTTAAAGTACCAATATGACGCCACAAAAGTGCATGTCTCCATCAACAGCATAGTTAAAAGTACTATCACTGGAGATTCTTGGGTTGGGAAGGAATTTCAGGGAATGAGCCATCATCTCCAACACAGGGCTTAGAAAGTGGTTCCAATGGCAGTGACTAAGCCTAACAATTTCAGCAAAATGACCAACAGTTGGATTTCTTAAGAAATCCTCCTTCTCTCAATGAGTGTCACAGTAACAGAATTTTTGTTTCTACCAGCTTTGCCCCTCCAAAGTCTTTCACCCTCAGACTCTTCCTCAACTTTCTTTCTTCCTTTCTTCCAAACAAACAAAAATTAAACAAGAGTCAGTTACATTTAGTCTTAGCACAATTATACTCAACAGTAAACACTTCTAGCACATTCTAGCAAATTCTAACTAGAAGAATTTATCCATTCTTAAAAATATAATATTTTTAATTGCTGAGTAGTATTCCATTGTGTAAATGTACCACAATTTCTGTATCCATTCCTCTGTTGAGGGACATCTGGGTCGTTTCCAGGTTCTGGCTATTACGAATAAAGCTGCTACAAACAATGTTGAGCAAATGTCCTTGTTGTGTACTTGAGCATATTTTGGATATATGCCTAGGAGCGGTATAGTTGGATCTTGAGGAAACGCTATTCCTAATTGTCTGAGAAAGCGCCACATTGATCCAAAGTGGTTATACAAGTTTACATTCCCACCAGCAATGGAGGAGGGTTCCCCCTTTCTCCACATCCTCTCCAGCATGTATTGTCACTTGAGTTTTTGATCTTAGCTATTCTGATGGGTATAAGGTGAAATCTCAGGGTTGTTTTGTTTTGCATTTCTTTAAGTGTTTCTCTGCCATTCTATATTAGTCTACAGAGAATTCTCTGTTTAGCTCTGTACCCCATTTTTTAATTGGATTACTTGATTTGTTGCTTTTTAACTTCTTGAGTTCTTTATATATTCTGGATATTAGTCCTCTGTCAGATACAGGATTGGTGAAGATCCTTTCCCAGTCTGTAGGCTGTCGTTTTGTTCTGACAACAGTGTCCTTTATTTATACAAGGAAATCATGAAATTATCAGGCAAATGGTGGGATCTAGAAAAGATTATTCTGAGTGAGGTGTCCCAGAAGCAGAAAGACACACATGGTATATACTCACTTAAAAGTGGATATTAGACATATAATATAGGATAAAAATACTAAAATCTGTACACCTAAAGAAGCTAAGCAAGAAGGAGGACCCTGGGTAAGATGATCACTCCTCACTCAGAAAGACAAATGGGATGGACATTGGAAGAAGGAGAAAACAAATAACAGTACAGGAGCCTACCACAGAGGGCCTCTCAAAGACTCTACCCAGCAGTGTATCAAAGCAGATGCTGAGACTCATAGCCAAACTTTGGGCAGAGTGCAGGGAATCTTATGAAAGAAGGGGGAGATAGTAAGTAAGACCTGGAGAGAACAGGAGTTCCACAAGAAGAGCAACAGAACCAAAATATCTGGGCACAGGGGTCTTTTCTGAGACTGATACTCCAACCAAGGACCATTCATGGATATAACCTAGAACTCCTGTACAGACGTAGCCCATGGCAGCTCAGTATTCAAGTGGGTTCCCTAGTAAGGGGAACAGGGACTGTCTCTGACATGAACTCAGTCGTTGCCTCTTTGATTTCCCTGAGGGGGAGCAGCCTTGCCAGGCAACAGAGGAGGACAATGCAGCCAGTTTGGATGAGACCTGATAAGCTAGGGTCAGATGGAAGGGGAGGAGGATCTCCCCTAGGGGCAGGGGAGGAGATGAGGGAGAGACGGTGGACTGGGAGGGAATGAGGAAGGGGGCTACTACTGGGATACAAAGTGAATAAACTAATTACTATAAAAATTTTATTTATATGAAAATATACAATACTTTAATTTTATAAAGTCTTTTCAAAATATTAATGTTTTCTATATTCTTTAATAGACTATGCCATAATTTTGCCAGTTACATTGTTTTCATCTGCTGAAGTTAATAAAACAGATTGACATATTAGGTTAATTGGTTGAATAGATACTAGCTCAAGACTGATGACTTCCACAACAGCTATAAAAAAACCTGGAGACCCTTTCTACTTACATGTGACTTGACATTTATTTAACTATTTCCATCTGGCTCAACAAAACTTACCAACTTTTGTTTTAAATTAATTAATAATTTTGGTACTACTAAGTAAGTGTTTCATGCTATTTTCCCCTCTTCTAAATGAATGGCATATGTTCCTAAGTGCCATTCACATGGCTGTACTCTTTTAAGAAATTAAAGTTAGCTGTGCATGATGGAGCACACCTGTAAGCCCCAGCACTCAGGGAGGCAAAGGCAGTCAGACCTCTTGTGATTTTGAGGCCAGCCTGGTCTACAAAGCAAGTCCAAGACAGATAAAAGCAAGTTCAGGACAGTCAAGGCTACACAGAGAAACCCTGTCTCAAAAAACAAACAATGCAAAAAATAAACAACAACAACAAAAGAAATGACAAGTTGTAGAACTTTTACAGAATTAAGCCATTTAAAATTTTACCTGAAACTTCCCAGTATGTAATGACTATCATGTACACGTCTGACAACAGACTGTTTCTGCTACTCCACATCTATTTTTAACGTCACAAATCCATGGAACTTAGCGAAGTTTCTCTTCTCAGTGACTGCTATGGTTTCTGTACTAGCTTCCCTATGTTAGGTACAAGAAAGAATCCATATTTTTCTGTTTCCCTAATCAGAATTTAACTTTACCCACTTAGGACACTTTCATTCTTGAGAAATTTTCACATGACCAAGTACACACTTAATAATTTTTTTTTAAAAAAAGAAACTCAACCCAGCAATTTAAGTAGTAATTTTAAAAATCAAAACTCTTAACACAATAGACCCCAGAGATACATTAATTTGATAGTTATCTGCTAGAGAATGACAGTAAGAAATATAAGTCTTTGTCATCATTAACACATTATGTTTTCATAGAACGGAGTATCTCTGTTACAGTAAAACCATGACAACTCAAAGCATACAATTGTCTAAGCCACAGAGTTTCAGGCAGCTTGAATTGGTGTGGGGGCATGATGGCCTGAGCAGTGCATCCAGACTCCAGGCTGCAGGGATGTCACAGGATCACACACTGGTAAATGCTGCCAGAACAGTTCAGAGTCATTTTTCATTTACTAAGAACTAATTTTTAGTGACTGCATTTTAGAAACCTTTTACTATTGCCAAATTTTCAAGGAATCCACATTCATTCCATTTTATAACTCAGAGTTTTAAGAAGTCAGGCCTTAAAGTCTCTTTATACCTGCTCTCCTTGAGGTCTTGAAAGCAGGAATCTACCGTTTTAAGTCTCAAGCCTCTTTTTGAACGAGCAAAACGCATGTAATTAATGACCTCATTTTGATGGTGTTCATTTAGGCCCAACTCTGCCTGAAAAAGAGAGAATTGATTAGTCCCACGGATATGACCAAAGAACTAATAATGAAAGTAAACAAGACATTCTGTTGGGTTGGGTATAGTGGTACAATCCTTTAGTCTCAGCACTTAGGAGGAGGAGGCAGGTGGATCTCTGAGTGTCAGGCAAGCTACATAGTAAGCTTCAGAACAGTCAGGGTTACACAGAGACCCTGTCTCAGATAAAAACAACATTCATGATGGTACTGTGTTGTAGTACTGTTAGATGTACCTACTGAAGCTAGAGACTTCCTTGCAGTCAAATATAGTCACATGACTTCTCAGGGACAGAAATAATCCAAAGAAGTGGGGAGTATTTTTCTTTTTTAAAAAATATTTTGTTATTCTTAAATAATTTTATACATTCACGAGGAGTATTTTTCAAAGACTTAGGATATGACTTAGATATGCTATATAACATATACCTCTGCCATCCCCAATTTCTCTCAAAGCAGCACAGGCGGTAACTAGGATGAGACATGCCTTTATGTCCCAGGGCTGGAAGAACAGAGAGAGGAAAGAACCCTCTAAGAAGAGAGGAAAGAAACCGCGTGGAGCATCACTGAGAGGGTAAGAAATACCTGCATTCCTCAACACAGCAATTTTCAGATCTCTGTCACATAAGCTATACCCTTGCTAAACACAGCCTTAAAAGTGTATTTGGCTTGAAATTAGCCACTAGCCTTTGTTATAAATCACATGCTGTTTTAAAATAACCAAATCAAGAAGCTGCACAGCTAAGCGCAGCTCTCAGATCTGATCAGAGAAGTGTGCTTGTGCAACGGATGGTGGTTAATGCAGAAATCACAACTGGTAAGTGCAGAGAATAAGTAGCCTTAACTACAAACGGGATATCTCCATCACACCTCCCCCAGGCTCAGAAACTATCCCTGAAGGGGAGCACAGTCTAAGAAGCAGTCAGTGAGGATCTTGTTGGCAGTGGTGGCACATGCCTTCAATCCCACAGGAGGCAGAGGCAGTTGGATCTGAGTTCAAAGACAGCCTGGTCTAAGAGAGAGTTCTAGATCAGACAGGGCTACAGAAAGAAACCATATCTTGTAAAAACAAAAGCAAACAACAACAACAAAAACAGTGTCTTCTAGACATGACAGGACTGCCAGGCTAGGAACTCACAGTGGTTGCCTGCACCAAGTCAGGCCAATGAACAGTCCAGCACGAAAGCAGAGGGACTTATGAGACCCCACTCCTAGCTGAGGAGTTACTGGACAGCTGACGACTTACTGGGTGAAGTCGCCCCATGGTAGGTGACGGTAGTCCCACGCTCAGGAGTACATGGGCAATATAAATCACACTAGGTAGGTTAAAAAATAAAAAGAGGACAGAGAGTGCAAGATAAATCTGGAAGGAGCTAGGAGGAGGAGTAAATATGATTTTAAATACATTGTATGCATATATGAAATCTTTAAATGGTAAAAATATTTTTTAAAAAGTTTGGCTAGCAGCCAAACAGGAGAGGGGCCTATTCTAGAATTTTTTATTTTATGTGCATTATTTGATGAATCATTTTACCAACCCTTGTATAACTTCCCATTTACTAATGAATAATCTACACCTGATTCCCAAGTGTTAGTTATCAAACTGAGATAAAAGTAAGAAAACAAACAAGCCCTAACTTTCTGTGATGCCACCAGTATCATGTTCTCGTTTTTTAAATCAAGAAAGGTAGTTCTGACCTCAGGATTGGTTAACGAGTGGTCTGGTTTTGTTCAAATGTATACAAAATAAGGGCTTACTACGAATTCTGACTGCTGGGATATGTCAGAAGCCCTTTCGAGCTTCACTCTAAATAACTTCACCTTTTCTCCTTCAACTTCATTTCTGTGCTTTTATCTGTGTACAACTATTTAAATTAAGCAAGCTGTTGGATGAGCTGGTATTTTAAGTCTTATCCGTCTCTAGGTAAATCTGAACTCTAATACAGAGCTACATTCTAGCCCAATGGTCTTCGCAAACAAAGAAATACCACCCATATTTTATCAGCTGTAAAATACGGTGCTTCAGAAAGTTAAGATTCAACCAACAGAAGTTGGAACCGGAGCGTAACTGTTCATACTGGCAAATGTGTGCCTATTGCGCCTGCCAGGGCTCCCCAGACTACAGCTAAGGACGAGGTGAGCAGGCCGGAGAATGGCTTCCGGAAGGAAGGTAATCGCATCCTCCCTTCCCGGGGAGGCGCGGGCAGCGAGGCCCCGCTGGTCGTCCGTACTCTAGCCAGGACCCCTACCGGCCGCGGATACTCACCATGGCGGTGGCGGGATCCCACCGAAAACAGGGGGGCCGCCACCTGGGGCCTGAGGAAAGTAAGTTGTTTGGAAGCCGCGGGTTGCCAATGGGAACGGAGGCACGCGGGCCCTCGGTTATTGGCTCTTGGTGGTAGCGTAACTGGCTAACTTCCGCACGTACATTGGTTTCGAGATCCGGAAGTTCCTCCTTTTCTTGCCACGCAAGCCTGGGGTTGCCTGCCGTTGCCAATGGCAACAGAGGGCGGGGAGGGTTGGCTTGTCGGGCTCTGGAACCCTGTCCTGAGCGTTTGGTTCCAGACCCTTTGGCCACCTCTGCGAATAACCGGAACGATGACCTGGGCTTCAGCGTGATTGCACCAGGCTGTCAGGCTAGTGCTGGCAATGGTGCGCGCCCTTCCTCACGTGCGTTATCTTACAATGCTGGCAGAAGCGGCTAAACTTTACCTTTAAAAATGTGCAAAAACAGGTTTATATAGAGCAGACAGAGACAAGATTCGCTAGGAGAAGGTTGTAGAATACCGTCCCTGTTTCCCTGGCGGAAATGTTCACTTATGAAGACTAGCTTGAGTCATTAGAATCTGCAAGTTTAACCATTGTTCCAAAGTGGTGACGACCTCTTATTAAGACACCCCTTGGTAGGCCATGGTGCTCTTGCCTTTCATCCCAGCACTTGTAAAGCAGGGACAGAATGATCTCTGTGTGTTCTAGGCCATCCAGGGCTACATAATGAAACCCTGCCTTAAAAGAAAAGACACTGTCCTATGAAGGCACGTATGGGAAGAGATCACAAATGTTTGTTGAACATGAGGAGGCACTGGGTAAGCCAGCATTCCAAAGAACTGCCAGCCCTTTGAGAAGGGGGACTTAATGCAGGAGAGAACAAACATTCACCGCCAGCCCCGAGTTATCAAAAATTAATTTTGGTGGAGCATTTTGAGGTTGTCTATCACAGTCACTACTAAGTCCAGTTTAAAGTGAATCACAATTGGGTGCTTTTAGATGCAGAAGGCCTGTTCTGAAACTACTTACAGAGGAAGAGAATCTGTAGACTGCTGAGGTAGATGGGGACTTTGAAGCTTGAATCTGAAACTAGAATAAAAGTTTTCAATACAAAAATCAAAAGACTATTGCCAAGTCTTCTAATACAGTGGAAATTAAATATTCTCATTTAAGGATCTCGGCTTTAAATTTTTTTTAATCTAAAATGATACTAAATTAGGTAGAACTTAGTAGTTGTTACAGCAGCTAAGCTTAATAACTTAAAATAAAATTGAGGGATGGCTCACCAAATAAAGGCACTTCCTGACAAGCCTGATTACCTGATTCAGTTTTCTGGATCCACATGGTTGAAGAAGAGAGCCAGTTCAGAATTCCTGTCCTCTGATCTCCGCATGAACATAATGCCAAACCTTCACATACGGACACATAATGCTCTCCCTTCACATACACATACATGAGGATGCACACACCTACACACATAATTTCAAAATTTCTTAAATGAACTCAAAAGTTTTGTTGTTAGAACAAAGTGCTAACAAATTCTTTAAAATAAAGGTAATTTATAAAGACATGATATCTTTATGAAAAGGTACAATAATGAAAACATTAGTTAAGTGGTCAGTACCTCAAAACAGAAGTAAGTTAAATGGATGAGAGCTAGAAGGAAACTACTTTCAGATGTGTTCAGAAAAGCCACATTCACTGATTAGTTGGGGAAGGCAGACCTGGAATATAACCACATAACCACTGCCGAGGGCTTTAATTTCACCCTAGTACAGATAACAGGATTTTCTTGTCCACACTTACCCAACCACCCATCCACTGCCCCAGAGGTAAAGCTCTGCCTTCTGTTTAGGGGACTGTCATGAGCAAGCTGTGTCAAAAACAGGTATATTTGCATCTTTTCACTCTATCAGAATTTAAGAACAATAGATTCACAAGCTGCTTCAATTTTATTGGCTGCAATTTGCCAAGTAGTCGTCCTTTTTTCTGGGCTTTACTAATATTAATTTTTAGGTCACACATACATCATTCATCAAATCTATGCATAGTATAAGATGCATATATATCTATGTATATGTTAGAGCACAGCTACAAAAGGGTTAAAGAGACTATAGCAGAATTCCAGGAGACCTAACTGACAGGGAGAAGTGAAAAGTTGATCTGGATGCAAGGACCCTTTGCAAGGATGGTGGTGGGGTGGAAGGGTGGGATCAGATCGGATAACAAACTTTGTTGGAGATTGGTTGGCGATCTACTGCAGAGTCAAGCCATAGAGTCAGGCTGAAAGGATCTTCAGGGTGGAGGAGCCTAGGTGAGATGCAGGAGAGTGATGGCCATAGAGGTGAGGTGAAAGACCAACCAGGTCCTAATGGATTAGTGGGCAAGGGGGCAGACACGGAGGAAGACAATGCAGCCCATCCTGATGAGACCTGAAAGGCTAGGGTCAGATGGTAAGGGAGGAGATCCTCCCCTATCAGTGTACTAGGGAAAGGGCATAGGGGGAGAAGATGGAGGAAGGGTGGAATTGGGAGGGGATGAGGGAGGGGGCTACATCTGTGATACAAAATTAATAAATTATAATTAATAAAAAATAAATTAATTTTTAAAAATAAAATAATAATAAAAGAAGGCCAATGAAACACTCTGGACTGCTTATCACTTACTAAACTTAATAACTTAGAAAGATGCAACTTCCACATATATGTAAATATACAGATATGAATATACATATATACAATATATACAGATAATTAGACAGACATATTTTTGGATGAAATAGGTAGCCTCAACAAATCTTTAATTCTGTCATGGGTTTTTATACTCTCTAATACAAAGGTTCTCTATGTATGGAAAAAATTACATTGTTCAAAAATAGATACATAAAAGGGGAGTTACAGTAGGACTATTAATCCTAAAATCTAACTAGATATTTTGTTTGTTTTAAGTTTTAAGCAGTGGTTTTATCTATATGCTCATTATGAGTTCAAAGCAGAAGTTTTATCTTATTTCAAATATACCTTATGTGTCGAAAGCAAGTTTTTTATGTCGAGGTTTTTCTAAGAAACAAGTGTCTGTCTTGTCTTGTATAGCTAACAATTTATTCTTTATTCTATATTCATATGGTCTTTCTTATTATGGCGTACACCTGGGCCTTATCCTTGGGCTAAACCTAAAATGAATGTATCTTCTTGATTATTAATTTGGTTCAATCCTGTTTTCTCTCTTGGTGTAGTTCAAGCACCTGACATAGGGAGGTCCACAGAGCTCCTAGCAGTTTTTTCTGTACTGCAGGAGGGCTTTAACATTGCTTGAATCAAGTCAGAAATTCCTTAAATCATCACCGGGTTATGAAATCATCAGTTCGTGTAAACAGCACTATGTCTTTGAAGTACATCTTCAAACTAATCTTAAGGAAATCTGCCCAACAGCGCAAAGCAATAAGCAGTGAGGGTCTCTGCCATGCCACACGTATGAGACAAGCACGGAAAGGCGGTGTAGCAACAATAAGCAGTCTTGAGACAAAATCCTTGGGGCCTTGCCTACACCAGGGATACACCCATCTGTCAGCCGTGTGAAAACGAGTGGGCTGCCTCCAGGAAGCTCACTTGCTTGCTTCTGCCAATCCAGCATGCAATTGCTCCCAGCATCCAAGACTTTAAAGAAGGAAGGTCCAGAGTGAAAGGTGTTCTTTTTAGTTTGACACAGTTTGGCACAGTTTGGGGAAGAGGAAATCTCACTTGAGGGATTTTCCTTATCATAGTGGCCTGTGGCCATGCCTTTGGGAGTTGTCTTAATTTTTTTTTTTTTTTTTATTGATGTGGGAGGGTCCACCTCACTTTGTGTGACGCCACTCATGGACATATGGTCCTGGGATGTGTGAGAAAGGCCAGAATAAGTAGCTTCCTCCACAGTTCCTGCCTCAGCTCCTGCTTCAGCTCCTGCCTCAGCTCCTGCCTCAGCCCTTGCCTCAGCTCCTGCCTCAGCTCCTGCCTCAGCTCCTGCCTCAGCTCCTGCTTGAATTCTGCCCTGACTTCCCTCAGTGATGGCCTGTGACCTTCCCAAGTTTTTGGTCAAAGGGTTCTATTCCAGTGACAGGAGAAAAATTAGGACAGAAAGGCTTTGTGAGAAGGCGTGGTACTTCATTGATCTCTAAGTTGTAGGAGACTTTTCTTTTTCTTTTTTTCCTGTTTATTTTTATTTATTTTTATTTAAGTTTTTATTTTTTATCTTAATTACGGTTTATTCACTTTGTATCCCAGCTATAACCCCCTCCTTCCTCCCCTCCTTTCCTTATCTCCTTCTATGACCCTCTCAAAGTCCACAGATAGGGGAGGTCCTCCTCCCCTTCTATCTGACCCTAGCTTATCAGGTCTCATCCGAACTGGCTTCATTGTCCTCCTCTGTGGCTTGGCAAGGCTGCTCCCCATTCAGGGGAGGTGGTCAAAGAGCTAGCCACTGAGTTCAGGTCAGAGACAGTCCTTGTTCCCCTTACTAGGAAACCCACTTGGATACTGAGCCCATGGGCTACATCTGAGCAGGGGTTCTAGGTTATATTCTTGAATGGTCCTTGGTTGGAATATCAGTCTCAAAAAAAGACCCATGTGCCCAGATATTTTGGTTCTGTTGCTCTTCTTGTAGAACTCCTGTTCTTTCCAGGTTTTACTATCTCCCCCTTCTTTCATAAGATTCCCTGCACACTGCCCAAAGTTTGTTTATGAGTCTCATTATCTGCTTTTATACAATGCTGAGTAGAGTCTTTGAGAGGCTCTCCGTGGTAAGCTCCTGTGACTATTTTCAGTCAGTTTCAAAATTTTCTGGGGTCAGGCAGAGCATGAAAAAGTGCTGACAAATTAGATTAATGAAATATATATTATATGCATTAAAGGTTAGGCAAGGAAGTGGTTCACAGTAAAATCCAACCACCTTTAAAATGGTGTGGATTGTGGCAAGATTTAGCACAAATCATAGATTAGTTTCACTGATAAATCTTCATTTGTTGACAACACCCCTAAAAGGAAACAAACACCAAAACCATCAAAGAGTGAAGCTTATCTTTAGAAAAATATAAAAAATTAGTTCTGGGAAACACTTTCTTAGGAAGTGAAAGAAAAGTTGCTT